ACGATAGCCACTGTTATTGCTTTTCAACCATCCCCACAGTCCTTTGCCAGCTGGTAGTCTGACTGCAATACTGGCATACACTGTGCCCATCTGCCAGGTGGCTTTACGTGCCTTCCCTCTGTCGTGCTCAGAGCTTGGACTGTTTAGTGTTGGAAGAGAATGGTGCTCATTAAGGAATCTCACTTGGTCAAATTTTGAATCCGTTCAAACGTTATAGGTTCAAAAGTTGGCCCTGGGAGCTATTCCTGGCTCTGCCCCAGCCTACTGTGTTTCCGTGGACAATTCCCTCCCTCCCTCCCGAGTGCCTCATGTTTGCCATCTTTAAAATGGGCAAACATCATTAGCCCTTTTTTGTAAAGCAGTTTGAGCTCTGCATTGGAAGCAGTGAGTAAGAGACAGGTACTAGCATCATCAGCTCTGTGTTCCACTTAAGAGAGACAGGGGAAAAGGGCAAAGAGAAAATAAATCCACTGTTGGGAGGAAAGGAAAGTAGGCAGTGTGAAAAAACAAGGGTGATACCGAAGCAAGGAGAGAAAAACATTTTCATCATCAGTACAACAGGGCACCCATTCATATAGGTTGGCGTGTAAGTATCGGGTACCTTCATCCCCAAGCCAGAGCACAGGTTTTAATTTTCGAGTGTGTCTACACTGCAATATAAAACCTGCCGTTGGCCAAGGCCAGCTGACTCGAGCTTGTGGGGCTGAGGCTACGCACACACGACCGCTTACGTCAGTATAAGTTATGTCGCTCAGGGGTGCGAATAAGCCACCACCTGAACGATGTACGTTACACTGACCTAAGCAGGTCAGAGCTATGTTGGTGGGAGAAGCTCTCCTGCTGCAGTAGCTACCGCCACTTGCGGGGGCTGGAGTAATTAAGTCGACAGGAGAGCTCTCCCCCATGGGTGTACAGCGTCTGCAGTAACAGCACCACAGCTGTGCCACTGTAAGCTCTGTAGTGTAGTCACAGCCTTAGGCTAGGGCTGTTTAAATGCAATGTAGACTTCCAGGGTCAGCAACTCTCCCACCTCGCAGGATCCTACAGGACGGGCTCCAGCCCAAGCCCAGAAGTCTACACTGCAATTAAACAGCCCCTTAGCCTGAGTCCCGCGAGCCTGTATCAGTTGGCACGGGCCAGTCACAGGTGTCTAATTGCAGTGTAGACATACCCCTAGAAATTTGAGTTTTGAAAACATGATTCAGGGGGTTTTCTAAACCAAAAGAAAAACACAATTTGACCTAGTTTTATAAACCTGATTCCCCTCTCTCCCCCACTTTCTGAGGTTTATAAAGCGTTCAGCTCCAGGAGCCTCTCTCTGCCCCAAGCACTGTTCCAGTCCCACCTCCTTCACACCTCTGCACTATGGAATCACCTTTTGCACGGCACGGCTTATAACAATCAGATTGACTGATCCCAGCTGCCCAACTAGCCAAGAGAATTCTATAACACATCTAAATACCAGCCAGCCTTATCCACTCTCTGCACAGCAAAGGCTACGGGCAGGAAATGAAAGGAACCTCAAGATAAAAAACCCACACAGAGCAACACTCATGCACAAGCCTCAAGGATAATTCAGCACAAATGAATATTATTTACATAACAGCAAGTGCATGTAGCACTTTAAAAAGAAAAAGGCTCAACTCTCAATTTAAGCATCATAAAGAGATAATTGAAGTTCTGGGGTCGACATGGTTACATGCCTATCACTCAAAAATACCGAGCAAGCAGCAATCGTGATCCATCTGTCAGCGTGCCCTTCGCTGTCGCAGAATCCTCGTTAACAGAGATTACTACATTTTGACGGCTGAGGCATTAGAATTCAGGGGAGTTTGCCACATGAGGCGTTACCGTGCTCCTCAGAGCAGCTTACGTTACAGATCTGGTATGCACATGAAGTCCTAATTAGCACAAAAAATAAAACACAACTCAGGTTTCCTCTCTTCCCTGCCAGGATACCAGGCACCTGTGTTATCCAGAAATATTTGGGCACAGAGACTGAGAATGAGTGCAAGTCATTTCTGATGTGTTTAGACATAGTGATTTGAGAGACAGCTCGTGCGTGTGCGGATGAGTGTATGAATTCAGGAGCATATGGCTTGCCTTTGGAGGATTTATTTTCTTCCTCCTCTGTTTGGGTTTGCAATACCATCGGGCCCAAAAGAACTGTCTATGGCATTTGGTCGGATCAGCTAAGAGGTCTTTTTTTAAAAAAAAAAGAGAAATTAGCTTGATTATTTGATGAGCGATAAGAACCAACAAAGGATGTCATATTATTTTTATTCCTCCACGTTAAGGAGGTTTTAAATTAATTTGCTGCTCATTAAAATGCAGGATTAACAACCATGAAAACTGAAATCCTGCTTTTATCCATAGGGCAGGAAAAGGATGAGCAGCCTCTCCCCCCACATCACCCCCAGCGATGACTGGAGGGACCACCTCTGGGGGATCAGAGGCTATTTCTGTCTCTAAGGCCTTTTCGCTCTTTGGAAGAGGACGGATGAAGTAATGAGTTTAAGGAAGAGGACTAGGAGACGCAAGCTCTATTCCTGCCTCTGCTACAGGCTTCCTGTGCAACCTTGGTCAAGTCACTAACGCTGTGCTTCAATTTTCCCCATTTGTAAGATGCAGACAATAAAAATTAGCTTAACGCTTGAGGGCCCAACCTTACTTACATGAACAGCCACTTACTCTGTGAACAGTCCTATTAACCCTGTGCAAATACTCACAGGGTAAGTCACTACTCAACCTAAGTCAGAATAGCAGGATCAGGCCCTCGCTGTGTTTTTATATCCTTGGAGTGGAGGTGCTACAGAGGTGCATAGACATCGAGAATCGGACCGAAACCACCAATTTGTCACAGGTAGGACACTGGTCACTCATCAGATGGGAACAACTTTCAGAGCAGCAAAGAACGAGAAGATATTTCTTTGCCAAAGCAACATTTGGTTGCTGACAGAGACTGCTGCATTCCCACCAGTAATCTCACAATCTGGGAAAAGGCTGTGACATCTAAATGGTATGTTTTCTGACAGCCTGCCTGGTTTGCTACAGAAATCAATACTACTACTACTTCTCACAATTAATATATGAGATGCCTCTACGAGCCCAGCTCTTCCTACACTTGCTACTTGTAAATAATCTGTAAAAGCTTCTCATCCAGGGAGAGAAGTGAAGATTAAATATTTACTTTGGAGGGTGCCATTTTCTGCCAGAATGTTTTATTGGAGGTGCTCGGTGTCTAATGGTGAGCTGAGGATCTCTTCCTCGGAGCAGAATAAATAAATAAAAATAACTGCTGTAGAGGAGGGCCTAACAGATACCCAGTGCCGCTTTGGGCGTAACTGATTGATACCACTTCTAATTAGCAACATTTGTAAAGTTCAGGCCTTCTGTTCCTGACATGTGTCACGCATATCGGTTTAGCTGAACTCGGCCGTTCCAAGAGGCGAGCGGCTGGTGGAGTATTAACAAGCCAGGGCTGGCAGATAATTTGCTCTTGTACCCATGGTGCTAGAGCAACTCATTCTTAGAATGCAAACTTTGGGCCATTCCTGCACGGTGCCAAGCACCACTAACTCTTAGTGCGTTGCAAGGATCTCTCTCAAAATGGAGCCATTTAGTGCTAGCCTGCAGACCTCTCTGCAATTTGCTAGTTTGCTACTAGACTGACATTCCCACCACTGCCATTGGAGCTACACCAGAGGTGGAAAAGTTTTAGAAAAGCCCTACTGTAGGTTATTATTATTTATATAGCAATAGTACCCAGGAGCCCCAGTCATAGACCGGGACCCCATCGGGCTAGGAGCTGTACAAACTCAGAATAATAAAAGAGTCCCTGCCCCTCAGAGCTTACAATCGAAGAGCAGGCCTAGGATTCCATCCACTCCTTTCTGGGAGACGCACTCTATTCCTACGCTACGTGTACACTCCTGAACAGGGCTATCAAACAGAAACACCCACGTGCAATAGCAGTAGCACCATCCTTTCAGGACTCCAGCAAACAACTCTGCCATCAGCTTCCCAAACCAGCTCTTTTTCTCCCTAATATCGCATTTGCTCTGTGACTGTGTCAACTCCTCCCCAACAAAATCCAACACTTTGTTATGACCGTCCACCTGGGGCTGCCCTTCAAAGTCACCAAATTCAGCCACTTGGCCGAGGTGTCAGTCAAGACTACACCACACCCAGAGGTCAAAATGTACAGGTTTATTCTGTGGTTGACCAAATCCATCTGTAGTAGTTTGCAACACAAAAAGGAAGTGCACTTAGATTTTAACAATCCTTCTCACTTCAACACAAGGACAAAAGTGCCTGATGTTAGTGGCTGAAAGTCAAATGTGTCTGTTTTCATCAACCAACCCAACAGGATGCTGAGCTAAGTGGATACAATGGCTGTTAACCCTTTCTGCAGTTCTCAGTGCCATATTTATGTCAATAAAGTTAATGGTTTCATATCATCATGCTAGCTTGTGCTACACATGATTATGAGACCACACGATCAGCATGTTCTGTGCACCGCGCCGTAGGTGATGAATACCACCTGCCCACTCCCTTTCAGCAGAAGTTTGAGTAATTGGGCCCCATTGCTGACCTATAATGTACTCTCCCTAATACAAGTCAAGGTGGCGGTCTCTCTTACTGTGGCTTGGTACTTCTTTGCCTTAATTCAATTCCCACAAGCTACCTGAACAGTGTCATTCACTCGCTCTCCCTATTGTACCACGCCATCCCTACTGTATGCGCTGGTAAGCGGACGCTGCAGCGGGCTTCGCCAGCCCTGCCCAATGCCAGTGAAAATTTGGATGCTGCAAACGAAGCCACTGCTAGCCGTAAGCCAAACACAGCCAGTCAGAGTTAGGAACAATTTGAAAGCCAATTATGATTTAACAAAGCAAATATGTTCATGCAAGGGTAGCACGACCTTCACTCAAGAAACCTTACAAAACAACACATAAGGAAGGAAAAAGAAACCTAATAGCCGGGAAACATGCTCTTACCTGTCTGTAGCAAGCCAGCCCCACTGTCTTTAACTCCAAAATGCTGCTGGATGTCTAGCAATACACCTGTAGAGAAAATGGAGAGAAGAAACTCAGTGCCTTTGTCCTGTGAAATGTGCAGCAGAGATATGTGGTTTTGGGCAGCAACAATAGGGTATGCAAAGCCTGCAGCGACTCACAACACGCAACAACGTTCAAAACCTGTGCACTGACTTCTTCTTTCTTGTGCGTGTTTGTTACTTTTGGGGTAACTGGGGCAAGTAAATTACCAATAGGTGTCAGCAGGTTAAGAGAGTGCAAAATGTTCACAGTGAAACCCAAATGCATGAGAAGCTTGCCTTGCCCTGTTCCTTATTTATTATTTATGTTGCCAAAGCACCAACGCCTAGGTGCTGTGCAGACACACAGGGAGAGGGGGTCTCTCACCCAGAAGAGTTCACACTCTAACAGGCAAGACAGACAAAGGGTGAGAGAGGAAGCAGAAGCATGGAAGTAAAGTGACTTGCTTAAGGTTATGTAGCAGGTCAATGGTAGAGCCAGCATTAAAATCCATGTTTCTTGATCACCAATCTAGTGTCCTATCTACTGGACCACACTGGCTCTCAAAACTCAGATCAGGTTCTTCAAATGTTTCACCTTGGTTTGCAAACTTTTCAAGCAAACCTGGGACTAGTTTCAAGTGACACTCTGTTGGGAGGCAATGCAACCTTGTGTACAGGACTTGTAATAGGCGACCCACTCAGACTTGGGCAAATCCCCTCTCTGAGCCTTGGTTTCACCATTTATCCAGCTCTGGTGAACTCTTGTTTCTGATATTTTTGGGGGAAAGAAATGAAATCAATGGTTTAGTACAGGGGTCGGCAACCTTTCAGAAGTGATGTGCCGAGTCTTTATTTATTCACTCTAATTTAAGGTTTCGTGTGCCAGTAATACATTTGAACGTTTTTATAAGGTCTCTTTCTAGAAGTCTATAATATATAACTAAACTATTGTTGTATGTAAAGTAAATAAGGTTTTTAAAATGTTTAAGAAGCTTCATTTAAAATTAAATTAAAATGCAGAACCCCCGGACCGGTGGCCAGGACCCAGGCAGCGTGAGTGCCACTGAAAATCAGCTCGCGTGCCGCCTTCGGCACGCGTGCCATAGGTTGCCTACCCCTGGTTTAGTAAAAGGGGGAAAAGTGACTAGACCTTATTTTAAAATAACTGAACAAAATACATCAACACGCACTCACACACAGTCTAAACACACTGGAGTGTTACATGTATATTTTGTAGGAAGTAGCTACCTTATCCATCTAGATTCTCTTACTGCACCCAGCACAGGGATACGAAGGCCTCGCAAATTTAGCCATGTGAATGATGTAGTATAATCACTGAGTGCAGCCAGGCTTTGCAAACCATAACTCAAGCTGTGCTGAGTTGTCGCAGCATAGTCTTTTACAGTTATTTATGATGGGCAAATACCTCCAAAGGTTCAGAGGTTCCATTTGGGTCAGATAAGGCTCCAAAGGCTTCCATGCTTGTCCAAAGTTGAAGCAAAGTTACTCCAACTTCTCTGGCCTGGAACATGCACACTCACTCGGTTTCTCAATTTCTAGCATGTCCTTGTTTTGGCCAGATAGCAAACAGCACATAAATAGCCTAAGTTGTGGAACTGCTGCTTGTGGCTTCTACCAAAATTAGGAAATACACCGAAACCCTCTCCGAGAAACTGGAAAGTTTTCCCCAACTATATTCAACCCCTAAACAAGTTCAGATCCAGCTCAAAAGCTGGCCCTTGGTTTTATCCAGAAGGATTCTGCTCATCCTTAAGGGTCATTAGAAGCAACTCTCAGAGTTAACTGGATCTCACTGGCCATAAAACATCTTACCTTTCAGAACAGTCAGGAGTCATGCCAAACAACAACAAAGACAGATGAAACAGGGACAAGTATTTCCAGAAGGCATCTGGGACGGTAGCAGGAAAACTCGTGGATTAAAAAATCGTAAAAAGGAACAAAGAGGAGGAGAAAAGAAACGCATTGTGTGTCCCAACTGGGTTATCTAATAATGCACCATTTACTCCAGACGACAGCATTCAGATTGCTTCTAAAATGACTCCAATCTCTGTCCATCAACAATAATTTAGTCTCATAGCCTCCACAACTTCCTTTCCTTAATTCTCTGAATGACAGAGAGCTTTATATGTCTGCCCCGAGGTAGCATCTCCCTTCATTTCTATTCTTCTACCCCGGCCTCACATTGCTTTGAAAGCATTGCTGTGTTTTACAATTTCAGGGTGTACACAATTCTACCAGTCCCTCCAGAGCTTTTGTTTTGTTATTGGATCACAGATAAATCTCCACTGTGTCACAATTCTTCAATCACCTTCCCTAGGCTCATCCCATTCCTATCCTTCCACCACCCTTTGCTGCTTGCTTCCTTTTTTGCTTTGTTAATAACTGAAGTAGAGTCATCTAGGCAGAATCTGAGGGATGAAAATAATTTTGCATCTACACAGTGTAACCCACTGGAGTCAGTGTGTTCTATGCTCCCTTTGATGCCTGAGCCAAAGAGGGTACAAGTCTGTTACAGCTAAAGGGCCTGGCTCTCTAACCCAAGCGTTCGGTTCAATCCCTGGTGTTGGCCAAATTGTGACTATCATGTAAGTGGGGGCTCGTCTGGGAACAGACAAGTAAGATGCATTCAAAGAGGGTATAACTACAGTTTCCTCTTTACAAAAATGAATCCCATCAACATCCCCCAAAAGAAGGTAAATTATTACCCCATATTACCTATTGGATAAGGAATACCACCTCTACTTAGCTACGCCACAGTTTACCATCACCCCTCAATCTTGCTCAGCTGCCATGACAGGAATTGAACCTACTCCTGCCCATACTTAGCCCTTACTCTCAGCAGCCCAGTTTCACACAGCTACTCCATCTGGAGATGCAAAACAAGGCAAGGTCACCAGAAGTTCTAAACTCCCTATGGTCTGATGGAGGCGATGGACATTACTCCAGGAACAGTAGCCAAGTCAACAGGAGAATTCTCTTGTCAACCTAGCTCTGTCGACTGGGGGTTAGGGCAATTCAACTGCATTGCTCAGAAGTGTGGAGTTTTCACACCCCTGAGTGATGAAATTATACTGACCTAATTTCCTAGTGTAGACCAGGCCTGAATGTTGCCTGTCGCCCCTGTCATTGCACCCCTGAGCTGAGCGTTCAGAATTCAGGGATTTGCTTGCTCTACTGGGTGCATTTTAGGGGAGCTGTGGGGTTGGGGAGGGCTCTCCACTCGTCAGTGAAATACAACAACTGAGCCATACTCCTCAGGTCCCGGGTGGGGTGGGGGAAACAGTCTCATGTGGTTTATGGAGAGCTGTGTGATTAATTGGCATGACTTTCCTATTGCACTTTAAGCCCGTTTTGTATTCCCTTTGGAGCACAGGTGTTTTGATATAGGATTTGGAATAGTAAATTGCAGGCAGCAGGGAGCCGATGATGTAACACATGCACAGAATGAGTTTCTCTCTAGTGGAAGAGAGAGCATTCCTCCTCAATGTGTTCCTATTATGCTGGGAAAACACTCCTGCCTTTCCTTCTTTGCTCAGCTCTGCTTATTTCTGTCTGAGTACCACATATCAGTGACTCTCCCAGATCTTTAATAAGATTCAGGGGCACAATTAAGAGAGGATAGATTTTTTTTAAAGCACGTAAAAACAGAAGCAACAACAGTGCCTTTGTCTTTTCCTACACTGCTCTCAGATCTGTGCTGCTGGACAGCAGGAAGGTGGAGATAATCTGGACCTCACACCAGGGCCACGGGAAACAATCATGTTGTTCCTTGAGCGGTGCATAGATGTCTCCCACTGGAGCACAACAACTGATGCAACTGAGGAAAGGGAAGCAGCCGAATGTGGCAGACAAGGCTTTTCTAATTAGAAAGTTCATCTCCGTGTCTCAGGAGGAGCTGGGAACAACAGGGACTAGCTGACAGGTAGGCAACACCCTTCGTGAGAAATGGCCTCTTGCCATGAACTATTACTGTAGGGGATGTGTTTACGACACACACATACAGATTATTATTATAATTATGGCGTGTTATTTGTCAAGCACCATCACTGTGCTCAGGCCTGAACAAATACACAGGAAACATGGTGCCTCCCTGCCTCAGATAGCTTATCCCCTGAATCAGATACTGTTAAGTGCTCACAATGTGCTTGGCGCTGCAGAAGACAAAACACAGGCAGACACGGAGAAGACAGTATGCAGTATAAAGCCCAGAGGAGGAAATGACTAGAATTGTTTATTCTGACTATTATAATTAGTTCAGTTATATTTATCTAGAGCATTATCACTGTGATAGCTGAGCACCTAACAAAAAGTTTAGAAGTGGACATCAGATCCTTGAAGGAGGGATCTGAAGGAGGAAAGGGAGAACTGGAATGAGCATTTCATACACAGGGAGCAGTGTGGAAGAATGCATGGTAAAGCAAATGAATGGAGAATTGGGGCTGACATCATATGCCTCCGGAGTCTGAGGTGTCTGACACCTGACTCGAGATCCAGATTCCAATTTGGCAGATGGCTGCTTCTCTCTTTACAATAGCTTAACCCCAAACCCTAATCTGAAAGGCCCCATCTCTGCGGCACTCAGATTCCAAGTCCAGTTTTTGCAACTAGTTGTTAGTCCCTAAAATGCATGACCTTGCACTTTTCACTATTTAATTTCACTTTTCACTATTCCCATTTCTATTACTCCAGTTTTCAAGGTCATCTAGATCTTCTTGTATGATATTCCGGTCCCCCTCCGTATTGGCAATACCTCCCAACTTTGTGTCATTTGCAAATTTTTTTAGCACACGTTCACTTTTTGTGCCAAGGTCAGTAATAAAAAATGTTAAGTAAGATTGGTCCCAAGACCAATCCATGAGGAATTCTACTAGTAATATCCCTCCAGCCTGACAGTTCCCCTTTCAGTATGGCCCATAGTAGTATCCCCTTTAACCAGTTCCTTATCCATCTTTTAATTCTCATATTAATCCCCATCTTCTCCAATTAACTAATAATTTCCCATGT